TTCCACGTCCCTCCCACCGCACAGGCCTTATGCTTGACTTGTGCAGCAATACAAGGAAACGGACAGCTCGCACCTGCAGAACCTCCTACACCTTGCCGCATGGTTCATGATTCTCAATGAAGCCACAGCCGATGACATGTATGAGGCTTGGCTAGACTTTATGTCGGCCATAAAGATTGAATGCGTCCCCCAGGCCCGCTCACACCAGAAGTGGAAAACCCCTTCGATAACATAGGAGATAATCAATCTCAGAGGCGAAAGCGGATGCTGTTCGCTAAAGCCAAAAAGAACTCCCAGACTTACCTTAAAGAAGCCAAACGCCTCCAGAAGGGTATAAAAAAGCAAGTCCATATAGCCCACCAGAAGTGTGTAGCTGACATTGCGGCCTTGGTCTTCAGGCAGCCTAAGCGCTTTTGGGCCTGTCAAGCGGCAGCGTAAAACATCCGTGAGCCCCTGCTTTACACATAACAACAAACCAGTCACTCTTCCTGCGGAGATAGCGGAGCTCTTCAGCGCCTACTTCGCCTCACTCTGGTCGAGTGGTAGCACTCCCCTGGAAGCCTCATCAACTTTAGAAGAAGCACTCGAAAGAACCCCACGCACAACCACAGGCTCTTTACCCTCTATCGCCATAACAGAAGGCAACTTAGAAAATGCCCTATCCAGGCTTTACCCTTTTCAGAGCCCCGGACCAGATGCAATACATCCCTCACTTCTGAAGCTCTCGGGCCACAGCCATGGGTCAGTACTAAGTAGGATGCTTCAAAAGATCATAGACGCAAGCTCTGTTCCCTCTTCATGGAAACAGGCATTCATCACCCCTGTTCACAAGATAGGTAGACTGCGCACCGACCTCATTGAGTCCTACTGCCCGAACACCTCAACATTGGTCGTCTGCAGAACCCTGGAACGAATTATTAACAAGAAGATCCTATGCCACCTTGAAGAGAACAGCATTTTGTCAAATGCCAAAAATGGGGTTCGGCCCAGAAGGAGCTGTGAGACAGCACTGGGTGTTGTGGTCCACACTGCGAGTGCGTCTCTTGACAACCGTATGCCCTGTGAAATGGTGCAACTGAATTTCAAGAAGGCATTCGACCGCATTGATCATCGCCTGCTGCTTCAGAAACTCATTGAGGCAGGTAACAAGGGTTCTCTGCTCCAATGGCTGCATATAGCCTAGTCACCGGGAGGACACAGCACATGCTGTTCCACGGCTCTGCATCAACGTCTCGTGCTGTTCTTTCAGGGGTCCCTCAGGGCAGTGTAGTTGGCTCCACCCTGTTCTCGATCTACATCAATGGGGTCACGAAAGTCCTGTGCTCCACAGCAATTTTGTACGCTGACAACCTGATACAGATTAAGCCCCTAAACTCACCTCAGTCCTACCTCGAACTTCAAGGCGACCAGATGCGTGCCACATGTGGTCTATAAGCCATCTACTCCCACTCAACGCTAAGAAAAGTGTGACAATGACACTCACCATCAGTACAAAGAGCCCGACCCCCCCGCCCCTTGTTTTAAGCTCTGTTCCCCTCCAGTGGGTCCAGAGCACTACCCTGCTGGGGGTAAGTTTCAACAACCATTTCAGCTTCACAGGCCACATAAGGGGCATTATAGCAAAGGCGCGTCAGTCACTAGGCTTTGTAACGTACGTCACACGTGGCATGCCACCAAGTGCGTTCTGGCACCTCTACACGGGATTGGTGCTACCCCACCTAGAGTTTTGCTCACCTGTGTGGAGCCCCTTCCAGAAATCACTTGAACAAGGCCTGGAGAGTGTGCAGCGCAGGGCTGCCTACACGCTCTACAGGCACACTGTCCTTCGTGCGGCGCTTTCACCCTACAGGGACATACCTACGCCATCCCTCCTACAGGGAGCTAACTGGCACAGCCTTGCACACAGAACAGATGTGGCTTCCATCTGTCTCTTCTGCAACCTGATAAGAACCTCAATGAAGCCCTCCGACGCTTTCGCTTCAACGCCTGCACCGGAAAGATTCAGCCTCTCTGGCACATACATTATGCCACCTCGAGTCCTGCTTGATGCGCACAGCCAAGAATTGGATCTCTCTGCCCCCTGAGCTAACTGTAGAGAATCCCGCTGACCCCGAAGACATTAGGGCTTTCTGCCGGCAGGCTTGGAGTGTTGTTCCCATAATCCTCTACGTTCCCTATTCCCACTCCTCCCCCCCAACCTGTTTGCATTCATCATCATCATCATCATCACACCATCACGTTATTGGCATCTGTGTAAATTCATGACTGTTCAACCTTGTATTGTGCGGCGTCGCAGACCTCTATGGTATGAGCCATCGGCCTTTCTGCAGCGTCACGGCTGTCCCGAGCCGGAATAAATAATAATAATAATAATAATAATAATAATATATATATATATATATATAATTATTATTATGATTATTAATATTATTATTATTATTCAGGTTCAGGTTTAGGTTCAGGCACTCGGCGGCGCCGCCTGCTAGCTCACCATCCGGAACTCCGTCGTCAAGGAAGAGAGGGGGAGCCGAGAAGAAGCCTGCGCTTCCGGCAACAGGGGTGAATGCGCGCCGGTCCAGTCGTCCACTGGCGTCGATCCCGCCCGCCTCACCGCCGTGCCTGACCCCCGTGCCTGACCCCGTGCCTGACATATGTGTCCCATAACACCGGCGACACCTGGCGTCATTGTGCCTGGGTCTTCGGACTTTGCGGCCCGTGCTCCGTGTGCGGACTTGCGACGTGAAACCAGCTTTGGAGGCACGCCGTCTTTGGGGGCCCCTGAGAATGCCTCCTTCTCTTCAGTTTTGTCTCCCCAGTCCAAGGGAAAGGAGATTTTTGTCACACGCCTTAACCCACGCACCACGTCAGCGGACATGGTGAGGCATTTGAAGTCTGTTAATGTGACACCTTTGCAATGCCTGCGTCTGAAAACGCGACATGCATCCTACGCGTCTTTTTACATCGCTGTACACACTCCTTTTCATGCGCTCGCTGACCCTTACCTGTGGCCCAGCGCGTGCTACTTCCAGACATTTAGAGGTAATTTTCGCGATGAGATGATTCATCCGTCGGACATAGCATAAAAATGTAATATGAAACTAAAGTATACCGATTTAAATATCTATTATCAGAATGTACGTGGTCTGCGCACAAAATCTAAGCAGTTCTTTGAAAATTTAATTTGCTCAAACTCAACTCTTCTGGTTCTTACCGGGACGTGGTTATGTCCAGACATCTCCTCCTCCGATTACTTCCCGCCAAGTTTCAGGGTTTTTCGCAGTGACAGGCAGTCTGCTGAAGGGAAGCGGAGTGGAGGTGTATTGATCGCGTTTGGTCGGTCCTACGATTGCGTTAGGCGGACGGGCCTTGAGACTTATTCCGAGTCAGTTTGGGTTGAGGTGCGCAGTCCGAAAGACAATATACTTTTGGGAGCATTTTATTTTCCCCCACATATGTCACCGGAAACATTCCATGACTGCCTTCAGGAGATTGAAAGAACCGTAACCGCATCTGACTCAGCTAATGTTTTGATCTTAGGCGATTTTAACGCACCATCTATTTGTTGGAAAACATGGAAGGTCACATCGAATAATTTTTATATCACTACAAAATGTGACTCGTTAGTAAATTTTTCATCGTTCTTAGGTCTGACACAACGAAACCCCACACCCAACTGGCAAGGGAAGTTCCTCGACCTGTGTCTAACGACCTCAGAGACTGTCAGTGTCGATAAAAGTAAAGCTCCTCTCGTTCCAGAGGATAAATATCATCCAGCGCTTGATATAAAAATGACTATTCAAACACCAGTGCTGCGCCAAATGCCGAGTGGCCAAAACGTCGAGAAATCCTTTAACTACGCAGCTGGCGATTACGTAGGCCTGTACGGATATTTTTCTGACTTTAACTGGAGTTCCATTCTAGAGTCTCCAAACGTGAATGATCAAGTAAATCAACTGACCGCTGTGGTACAGGAGGGAATGAAAAAGTTCATCCCATTGAGAAAAAACATACGCTCTGGGTTTCCCTATTGGTTTTCTCCTGAACTCCGTACGGCTTTGAAGAGAAAGTCGTTTTTGCATAGAAAACTTAAGAAAACAGGCCGTCCTGAATTCGAGTCTAAATTTCAGGAGGTGAGAAGTCGTTGCAGGGCATTGCTTAAGCGTGATAAGCAGGCAGATACCGAAGCAGTACAGTCAGATCTACAGCGAAACCCTAAAAGATTTTGGAGAGGAGTTAAATCGCGCAGGGGCGATCGCGCAGGAGAAAATGCTATTGTCATAGAAGGGAACGGAGGCTCTACAACTGATGTATGTAATGTTTTCGCTGGTGTCTTTGGTTTTGGTTTACACTGTTGATACTGGCGCACTTCCTAATGAGACCCTTCCATGCACGAACACTTTATCAGTTAGTAATATTGCGATAGACGAGGTTACTGTAGAAACTTGTATAAAAGCAATGCGTCCGACGCTATCTGCCGGTCATGACGGCATCCCCCAAGCTATACTCAAGTCTTACGGCTGCATTTTAACACCAGTCCTTTGCGCTATCTTTATTAATTGTCTGAAGTCTGGCATTTTCCCGAGTATTTGGAAAATTGCTGTTGTGGTCCCGATTTTTAAGGCGGGCAAGCGGACTGACGCTTCTAACTACAAACCTATTTCTTTACTCTGCTCGTTTTCTAAGCTCTTTGAGAACGTCATCCACAGGTCTCTGTCTTTTTCACTTCAAAGCATGATAAGTACCAACCAGCACGGTTTTTTCGCTGGTCGTTCAACGACGACAAATCTTGTGGCATTCGCGACTGCTGCGTCTAAGGTTGTGTGCGACAGAGGTCAACTTGACGTTAGATACTTTGATTGTAGCAAGGCCTTCGACATTGTAAACCACAGTATACTTTTATCAAAGCTCTCTGCAGTTGGTCTTTGCGGTCCGATGCGAACGGGTCTTGCTTTTCCACGTATAACGCAACTTCGGGTGTGCCACAGGGTTCCGTACTGGGCCCGTTGCTATTTTCTGTTTTTGTGAATGACGTCGCAAGCACCATCACCACGTCTTCTTTCTTGCTATATGCAGACGATATAAAAATATTTAGAGAAATAGGCGGCGAACCCGACTGCATGGATTTACAGTCTGATATAACCTCGTTTGTTGGCTGGTGCTCACGTAATCACCTGAAGATCAACCAGTCCAAAACAAAAGTCATGACCTACTCTAGAAAAACTGCCACAGTACCATTTAACTACACAATTAACACTAATGAACTCTCTTTTCGGCCCATACTCACGCTGCTCCATGTACCAGGTGCTGATTTGGATTCTCGCTGTCACGGCGAATTCCGTCGGGACGGCGGCAGCCCCAATCTACGAGTCATGGCCAGCGACGACCTTCTTTTCGTCAACTCATCGTCCCCTCGAGCCACCGGATTTTCCAGAAAAGTTTCTGTGTCATCTTGAAGACCGACAGATGGCCAGGCATCGAGGGACGTTTCCGGATCCGCTGCACCGTTGCCATAAAAGGGAGCTACTTTGCCTTCAGCCGCTGGGGCACGACACTCTTTTCGGCCCATACTCACGCTGCTCCATGTACCAGGTGCTGATTTGGATTCTCGCTGTCACGGCGAATTCCGTCGGGACGGCGGCAGCCCCAATCTACGAGTCATGGCCAGCGACAAACTTCTTTTCGTCAACTCATCGTCCCCTCGAGCCACCGGATTTTCCAGAAAAGTTTCTGTGTCATCTTGAAGACCGACAGATGGCCAGGCATCGAGGGACGTTTCCGGATCCGCTGCACCGTTGCCATAAAAGGGAGCTACTTCGCCTTCAGCCGCTGGGGCACGACACTCTTTTCGGCCCATACTCACGCTGCTCCATGTACCAGGTTAGTTATTTAAATCATTCAAAATGTTGCCGAACGAGCAATGTAATGCTTCTCAGAGTGTCGTGCCCAATCGACAAACGTGTGCTTTGTAGATACATGCATTTTGCTAGCTCTTGGGTGATCGCTACATTGATGTCTTTGTGCTGTGAACTATCGTTTTCGTTTTTTGAGACCTTGTTGCTTTTGTCGGGTGACGTGGAGCTAAACCCCGGTCCCATGACTAAGGCACAGATTGAACAGCTTGGGAAAATTGAGACCATTTTGTTGGAATTGCAATCTGGTCAAATGACTATTTTGGGAAAGTTAGCTGGTATTGAGGCAAAACAAGCTGATCTTGAGAGGAAGTTTGATACCATAAGCTTGAAAACTAATGATATTGAAAAACGTGTTTTGCACATTGAAGGAAGTGGCAGGAAATTAGAAGCAAAATTAGATGATCTTGAAAACAGAAGCAGGAGGACAAATTTGGTATTTTTCGGAGTTCCCGACAACTCTCGCAGTGAAACGTGGGAAGAATCGGAAAGGCTGATCACAAAAATCTGCAAAGACGTGTTATCGCTCGATGTTTTATTTGAAAGAGCCCACCGATTGGGGAAACACAAAGATGGGAAAAACAGACCAATTGTAGTCAACTTCCCGGGTTGGAAGGTCAAAGAGTCTGTGTTGCGAAGTGCTTTTAAATTCAAGAATACTTCATTCAGTGTCTCCGAGGATTTTAGTCTTGCAGTCCAAGAAAAGAGGCGTCAACTTTGGAATTATGCGAAGGAGAAAAGGCAGAACAGAGAGAACAAGGTTCATTTATTTTATTTTTTTTTTTTTTTTTATTTAGGAATACTGCAGGCCAATTGCGGCCCAAGCAGGATTGGGGGTTACAAAAGTCAAGTAAAAAAAGAAAAAACGCAACACCAGGTAATCCGTAAAATGGGAAAGGGGAACAGGGGAAAAGTATGCAAAAATTGTAATAAAGCACATGTAGTAGCTCACAACAAAGTTGGGAGGAGTGGCGGTAGTGGGGAACAGGAAAATAAAACACAATGCAAAAAGTTACACATCAAACAAACACTCAATCGACTCCAAAACATTGTCAGATATAAATATGTGATGAGGTAGGTTGTTCCATTCTGTTATGGTTCTGGGAAAGAAGGAGTATTTAAATGCATTTGTTCGAGCGAATACTGGAGTTATTTTATGCGGATGGTCATGCCTTGTGTGCCTAGTCGAGGATAGATGAAGAAAGGACGACGATTCAAGCCGGAGTTTTTTAAACCAGAGTTGATAAAGAAATTTTAGTCTAGCTAGCTTCCTTCGTGATTCAAGTGAGATGATGTTGTTACTTTGAATTAAGGCAGCAGGTGAGTCATGCGGGTGGTAGCGATTAAATATAAAACGAGCTGCTTGCTTTTGAACATCTTCCAGTATCTTGATATCTTTTTTTGTGAATGGATCCCAGACTGTACAGGCGTATTCTAACTTCGTTCTTATCAATGTGTTATAGGCTAAAAGTTTCACATGAGAAGGCACGTGCTTAAGCTTGTGCCTTATCATACCTAGTTTTCGACGGGCAGCTGCACAAACGTGTTCAATGTGTGAGGACCAAGATAAGTTGCTAGAAATTGTAATACCAAGATATTTAAAGCTCATCGTCCGAGAGATGTAGTTATCACCAATAAAGTATTCATACTGATGAGAGGACTTTTTGTTAGTGATGCGCATGTACAAGGACTTTTCTTGGTTAAGCTTCATCTCCCAACGATCGCACCAGCTAGAAACTGCATTAAGACTTTCGTTCAGAACAACTTGGTCCCTAGTAGAGTTAATATCCTTGAACAATAGACAGTCGTCCGCAAATAAACGAATACTCACGCTTTTATCTATACAAAAAGTGAGGTCATTAATAAAAATTGAAAAAAGAAGAGGGCCAAGGACACTCCCTTGCGGAACACCCGAAGTTACAGGAAGAGGATCAGAATGGTGACCGCGATAAACTGGTTATCAATGGACAGACGTTTATCTGGGACAGCGAAACGAGACAACCTGTTTTATATCGGGCGCCTGGCCAACCAAGAGAATACGAATGACGGGTCGGAAAGCCTAAAGATGGCCCAAGCAATCATGAGGCTACAGCTACAAAACAGGCGCCTTCAGTACTATTGGTAAATTGCCGTAGCATCAAAAATAAAGTAGACGAGTTTGCACTTTTGTTGGAGACCCTTAAACCTGAAGTTGTTATGGGGACGGAGTCTTGGTTAGATGATACTGTTAGTGACGCTGAGGTATTTCCGGCGGGTTTTACAGTTTATCGCAAAGACAGACATCGGGACGGTGGGGGAGTTTTTCTACTAATTTCTAATAGATGGACTAGTCATGAACTGGTTTTCGAAAATGCTACCGAGTCTGTCTGGTGTCGGGTCTTTTTCCCAAGGGGAACTGCTCTCGTGTTCGGGACCTTCTACCGCCCCCCTGATAACAGTGAAACTTCAATTTGTTTGCTCTGTGACATGTTATCAATGATTCCTGACAGTGTTTTTCTAGGTGGTGATTTTAATCTGCCAGATTTTAGCTGGTCTACTGGAACAACAGAATGTATTGTTAAATCACGCGTTAACACTGTGTTTACAGAGGTATTGGGCACTTTCGGCTTCAATCAATATGTGCAGCAGCCGACGAGGTTGAACGCCATTCTAGACTTGGTCTTATGTAATGACCCTAATATTGTAGCTCAGGTCGGGGTGTATCCTGGAATAAGTGACCATAGTGTGGTTGTTGCAACGCTAAATGTATCTGGAGCACCCGAGAGGGCACAACTTCCACGCAAGGTATTCATGTATGAGAGAGGAAACTTTGACGCCATCGGCACTGAATTGGACAGCTATTTTTCAACCTTTTTATGCTTAGCAGAATCGCACTGTCTAGAAGATCTGTGGAGCATCTTTCGTAATAAAATAACAAACTTAATCGACACTTTTGTACCATCGAGGATTATTCGACAAAAACGAAAACAAAAACCATGGTTTAATATTGAAATTCGTAAACTCGTAAGAAGAGCGCAATGTGCATATAGAAGGGTTTCCAGAGATGGCTGTCCAATAAACCTGCAAAGGCTAAAGGAAATTAATTACACATTAAAGTTATCTACAAGAAAAGCAAAGAAGTTATTTTTCTCCCGGCTAAACGATGATCTTAAGCGAAATCCCAAAGTGTTCTGGAATTACGTTAAAACAAGTAGAAAAGATGATATTTCTATCCCATACTTAAATGTTAACAATACAATAATCAAGAGTGATGCTGAGAAGGCAGAATGTTTTAATTCTTACTTCAAATCAGTATTTTCTCAAGAAACAACCAGCCATGAATCACCAGTATCTGTTATTTCTGGTAACACAATGGCAGATATTGAAATTGATGTTAACGGTATAATAATAATAATAATAATCCTTTATTTGTATAATGCCCCAGAACAACCTATTGGTTACAGTGTGGTGGCACATAAAAAGTTTAAAAAGAAAAAAAAGAACACCTAAAACAATACACAATCTCAAGCCCCCCCCCGACATATGCTCTCGAAATTAAAACATTTCACAATCATAAACCAAAAATATGCATATCAAGTAGTCGTTTGAACGCAGCAAAATTTAAAAATATGTCTACATGAGTCGGAAATTCATTTAAACAAATTTGCATTCTAGCCAAAGGAGACGGTCTCGTTTGGATAGATCTATAAAACACGCTTGAGTTTCTAACGACTCGGGCCGGTACATGAAAGTTCAAAGACGACACAAGATTGCTATCAATTTGGCCGTGAACCACTTTGTATAAAAATATAATGTCACGAGCAATCCTTCTTTTTGAAAGGTTCTGGAGTGAAAGTTCTTTAAGAAGGTATTCATAATCAAAATAACATTTTCTATCAAAATATCTATCGTAAACAAGGCGTATAAATCGCTTCTGAACTCTTTCTATCCGTGCAGCGTCGGTCATTGTTGGCGAATTCCACACTGAACTACAAAACTCAAGTTTAACTCGTACAAGGGAACAAAACAATCGAACTACGCACATTATATTTGAAAAATCATGCGTCAAACGTGATATCATCCCCATTGTTCTAAAGGCAGAAGCAACAATTTGTGTAACATGATATGAAAAGGTAAGATTACTATCGAAATAAACACCAAGGTCACGAACTTGTTCCACACGTTCAATAGTGGAATTGCCGATAAAATATTGATGTAAAATTCTTTCGCGTTTTCTGCACATAGATAGCACTTTAGTTTTATCTGGATTGACCAGCAAAAAGTTACATGAGCACCAGTTTGAGCACCAGTTTGACTTGCCTCTTGCATGAAATGAATACCTCGAAGCAGTCTTGGGCAGTAACTAGTTACTAGTAACGCGTTACCGGTAACTAGTTACTTTTTTCGGTAACTTTTAACTGTAACGCGTTACTCTTTAATACTGGTAACTTGTAACTGTAACACTGTTACTTTTTTATTGGGTAACTGTAACTGTTTAGGCCGTTACAGTTACTTTTTACTATAAAATTAAAATTCCTGGCTGACAAAAAAAAAAAGAAATTGAACAAACAAAAAAAATTGCCTCGTTTTGCCTACGACGGACCATAGACGAGACGGACGAGCGAGCACGAAACCGGGAGATTAAGGAAGCGGCGCCTGCGGTGGTAGGGGAGGCAAACAATGTGTGTTTCACCGACTTTGGCTCAATCTTCTTCTGTGGGGACCGTCTGCGGGTGTCGGTGGTCATGCGACATGTCTCCGAGTATTCCGTCTGGGCTGTGTCTGCCCTTCCCCCTCTCCCTTCCTCTTTGTCAGATATGTCCGCGCTGTACGTCGCTTTTACACCCAGCCGGTCGCCGCTCCCTCTTCGCTATGAGTTTCCAAGGAAGCCGTCCCCATATTAGGCGGAAAGTCGGCGCTTGTTTAACTTATTCTTTCTCTTCGGAACCGCTCGAGTAAATTGCCTTTCCCGCTGACAGCCCCAAGAAATACTCCAATAGACGTTTTGTTGTGGATTCTCTGCAGTGCTCCAGCTGAAGCGATTACCCGGAAAACACGTGTTTTTAAGAGAGAGAAATTGCTGTTTTGAGGCGCGTGTGCGGACTGATCTTCCACAGTTGGCGTTTGAGACAGAGGCGCCGCGGTGGTCGTCGTACACACGTAGAGCACCAGAAGGCCTCACTTTGTCTCCTTTCCCCCTATATTCTTCCAAAGCTGTTTGACCTGCTATATTTAAGCCTGCTTTCGAGTATATCCCATAAGGTAATCATGTGACCATCTGTGTCCTCTTTGGTTTCGGAGTGAAAAATAAACGAAAATGTTCACTGACGCGGGAGGTCCATCTAACGCAACGTATGTCCGAAAGCTTGTACCCTGTCGCCTATTGGTGAAAACTTTTGGGGGCTGAGCCACGTGCGGGAATACGATTGGTTTGCGCAGAGGCCAGTTTAACCAGACGGTTCAAAAATGGCCACTATTCTTCAGCTATCACTTGTCAGTTTATTGGGAAATCTCAAGCAGAGGTTACTGTGCGCGTTCAGCCTGTTTATTCTTGATAGCGCTCAAGCCATCCTGACAGGCAGTCATGTCTTCCGACACGGAGCAGCCGTTACCTTGGCCCTCGTATCGCGAATATTTTTCTGTTCTGACGACTGCGACAAACATCACAGTGCTGTGCAACATTTGCAGTAAACAGTACTCAGCAAGCAGGACGTCTTCGTCCAACCTGCGCAAGCATCTAGAGGTATGTTTAAGCTTTCTATTCTTGGGAACTCCGGTTTCTTATGGCTCATTTGGCGTTATGAATTGTGCTGACGATGGGGAAATATATCCATATCATTAAATTGTGCTCTTTTCTTTCTTTTTTTTTTTTTTTTTTTTTTTGCGCAGAAGAAACATCCTGTTGCTCTGAAGGAATTCGACTCTAAGAAAAGGAAAGCCGAACCTGGTCAGCCCTCGAATGAGAAAAGACATGCGGGTGGCGGCTCGACACAGACACTGGAGTTCTGTCTTGCAGGAACGAGTCGACACAAAGCTGTGCCGCAAAGTCAGATAGACAGGCTAATTGTAAACTTTGTGGTAGGCGACATGCAGTGCTTTTCAGTCGTTGAAAATGAACACTTCCGGCGCTTGATCATCGGAATGCAGCCATCGGCAACAGTGATGAACCGAAAGTCTTTTGTGAATCATCTGGACATCCTCTACCGAGAACAAAAAGCGTCCCTCATCGCTACCCTTGAGAAGGCGACGAGGGTCTGCTGCACAGCAGACTGCTGGACAGCCTCAAACAGGTAAGTTCTTGATGCACTGCACCCTATCTATACGATACTCTCAGTGAGACGCAGGTCGGTTTGTTTTAGAACCCGGCACATCTAAGCCTGTAATTTGTGAATAGCTGAAATAATTAATATACAGATATTGTAGTACATTGTCAACAGAAACCTAGCCTTTGAGCTCCGGCTGGACACCTTCATATCACCCCAAACGTATACCAGAATTACATATTAAATGCGGTACATTGTGTTTCACTCACAATTTTTATTATGCTGTTGAGGCGATCTGCAGTGTAGGGGCACATATTAAAATAGGGGGACATTTACTGCTTTTATACGATTAATGAAGCTCCACATGTGAAATTTGGCCGAGTTTAGGCAGTTTTATTGAAAATATCCGGACGTACACTCGTTGCGTAGCTTCATTTCGTAATCCTATTTTTATGACACTTCCCCATCGGAGTCATTAAACACTACTAGACGATTGTTTAAATTTGTAGCTAACCTATCATCTCATATCTTTTGCAACGTTCAAGCTCAGCTGGGTAAAGGTTCTGACGGGTGTGACTTATTTTGTGGCGCAGGGTATTTGGAGAAGCTACCGAACCTGAGGAAGATGTCACCCAAAATTGCATCACAGAGGTTCTTGACACAGCTCCAGGCGCTTGCACATCAGAGATCCACTTGCCTCGGCACCAGAGGTGCGCTGCACACACTCTTAATCTAGTTGCCTCCGCGGATGCTGAAAACGCGTGCAACCAGTTACCTTACGGTGCAATGGCGAAGAATGTGTTTGCAAAACTGAAATGTCTCTGGAGGAAGCAAGCCCAGTCAGTTCAAGCCGCTGAAGCCATAAAAATCACCCTAGGAAGACAACTTCCTGTCCCAAACGCGACGCGATGGAACTCTTTGTATAACGCTGTAAAGTTCCTGAATGAGGTCTCGAAAGGCAAACTGGACGCCACATTCGAGAGACTTTCGCTGCCAAAGCTACAGAACGAGGAGCTTGCCTTCATCGACGAATACTGCAAGGTATTGTAATAGCGTATTTGTTTCACTTTATGCAGTGCGCTAACCTTTCGTACTCTTTCAGACGATGTATGGCGTGGCGAAGGCACTGGACATCCTGCAAGGCGAGCAGTACATGTATATGGGTGTGCTGCAGCCCACTCTCCACTCGCTCTTGCGATACCAAGGGTCCCTGTCACAAATGCAGTACTGCACCCCACTTTCCAACGCCCTTGAGGCGGGAGTCAAGAAGAGGTGAGCGATATATTTGTTGTTCACTATATTGCTACCCCTCTCTGCACATGCGTTTGCATGGTAGCATATCCGTGCGAGCTATCTACACTTAACATTGTAGGTTTCAATCATCCATATTTCGATTTATTGGTTCAAGCAGTGCAAAAATCTCCTTTTTGTTTCTTGTCTCGTCACAGGTTTTCAGAAGTTCTTGAAGACAAGGACTTGGCCCTTGCAGCGGCGGTACACCCCAAGTTCAAGCTATCCTGGATCATGGAAAACGAGCGGAAAGCTGCAACTGTACGGCTGCTCGAGGAAGAATGTCGTGCGCTGGAGGAGCACTGCAGTGAGGACGCAACAGGCAAAGAGGATGGCGACGAAGACGATTTTTTTTTCCACTTGCCTCAAGCATTACCATCATCAACGGAGGTGCAACAGTGGGTGAGCGACCCCGCGACCGATCTGACCGGGCTCTCAAGGTTCCCCATGATAAAGAGGATCTTCATCAGGCTCAACACGGGGATTCCGTCAAGCGCGCCGGCTGAACGCCTGTTCAGCAAAGGACGCGATGTGTTCGCCATCAAGAGAGGGAAGCTCTCCGATGACAATTTTGAAAAACAGTTGATATTAAGTTATAACAAATATTGCAAATAAGTTATAATCGTTAAAATTCTGAAACGACGAATGACACAAAAAAGAAGCACCCTTCGGTTTTAATGTTTTCTAATTTCTCAGCAGTTCATCTTTCTTCTCACTACAGTGTAACAAATAAAATATTTTTTTTGGTTTATGGTTTCTTGTGTCCAATTTTGGTACTGTAACGAGAAAGTAACGGCGTTACTCTTTCTGCGGTAACTGTAACTGTAACACGTTACTTTTTTAATCCGATAACTGTAACTGTAACAGAGTTACTTTTTCCCCCTAGGTAACTGTAACTGTAACACTGTTACTTTTTACTGGTAACGTGCCCATGACTGCCTCGAAGGCAACCGGACCTGATGGATTACCATCGATTGTTCTTTATAAGTGTCGAGATATTATAGCCCAGTATTTATGTCTCATGTTTAAAATTTCCCTTGAAACTGGGGCAGTTCCACACGATTGGAAGGTAGCAAATGTTATTCCTGTTTTCAAGTCAGGGGATAAAAGACTTGTAGAAAATTATAGGCCTTTATCTTTGACGTCAATTAGTTGCAAATTGTTGGAACATATTATATATAGTGAAGTTTTTGATTACCTGGAATCCTGTAAATTTCTTGCCCCCTCCCAGCATGGCTTTCGCAGAGGGTGTTCATGTAACACACAACTGGCAGAATTTCAACATTACATTTCAAAATCACTTGACAACAATACTAATGTAGATGCAATTTTCCTTGATTTTCGTAAAGCCTTTGATACTGTACCACACCACCTACTACTGAAGAAATTAGCATCTTTAAATATAACTAACAATATTCAAAAGTGGATAAAAAATTACTTAAGTGGCCGAGAGCAGTGCGTGGTTTTAAATGGTAGCAAGTCATTACCTATAACTGTGAGTTCAGGAGTACCCCAAGGCAGTGTCTTGGGACCATTATTGTTCTTAATTTATATTAATGATATTGTAACTGACATTCAATCGCCGATTAAGTTGTTTGCGGACGATTGCGTTGTTTATAGACATATATATTCAACAATGGACATAGAAATATTGCAAAGCGACCTAGATAAAATAGAACATTGGTGTGATAAGTGGAAAATGAGTTTAAATATTGGAAAATGTAATTATCTCAGCTTCACAAAAAATGTATCAAGGTCTCCCGCCAGCTATACCATTAAAAATGCAATAATCCGCAGAGTAAGCGACTGTAAATACTTAGGAGTTAATTTCACCCAATTACTTAAATGGCACAATCATATTGACTATACAATAGCAAAGGCAAGCAAAATGTTATATTTTATCCGGAGGAATTTTAAGGGCGCTTCAACAGAGGTGAAAGAAACTCTATATTTTGCATGTTAGGTCGATACTCGACTATGCATGCATCATTTGGGACCCATACCAAGATTATCTTATCGAAAAATTAGAAAAGGTACAGAATCAAGCGGCACGATTTGTCAGCAATAACTATAACCCTTATGCAAGTATCTCTGAAATAAAAGCCATGCTGGGATGGGAATCATTAAACACTAGAAGGTATAAGTTAAGGTTGAAGTTTTTTCATCGGATTTATTATAATGAAACTGGCATTGATAGAAATGAGTATTTGTATAAACCAAGTTACATGTCAGTGCGGTTCGATAACTCTGAAAAGGTTTTTGAGTACTGTTATAAAACAAACAATTTTGGTAGTTCTTTTTTTGTTCAAACAATCAAAGACTGGAACCTGCTGCAACAGGAGCTGGTCAGTATCTCAGACAATGATGTATTTTTTTCTTGTTTGTGAAAATCACTGTTATTTGTTATTTCGTGATCCCCCCCCCTACGATAATGCCCACGAGGCGATGTAGGTATTCTGTAAATAAATAAAATAAAATCCCGCGTTGGCGAAATCAGAGATCTTGGTGTTGTATTTGACTCTGCTTTGCGTTTCCAGGGTCATGTTATGCATATTGTGAAGTCTGCGCACCCTGGGTCTTGTGTGTCGTGTATCACGAGAATTTCGTGACCCTAAAACATTTCTCACCTTATATTGTTCCTTGTGTCGTTCTCACCTTGAGTATGCATCTGTTGTGTGGGGTGGGACGTGCCACTCTAATCTATTGAGGATTTCTCGTGTACAAGCGAAATTCGTATCTATTTTTAAACACCGTTTCAACTTTGCAAAAGCAGTTGATGACGTGCATAGTTCACCCATTCGACTGCCAAACTTGCAGGGACGCCGAAACACTGCGGAGCTGCTCTTTCTTTATAAATGTATACATGGTCAAATAGATAGCTCCGACATCCTGCATCAGGTTTCTCTGCACGTACCGCGAGTGACGACAAGAAAAACGTCAATCTTCTATCTGTCATCTAGAGTTAATACACTTGATCCAGTATCTCGTGCGGAACTCCTTTACAATAACTCTTCTCTTAATCTCGATATATTTCTTGACAACTTTTCCGATTTTGTTAAATCTGTGCGGAAGCTCTTTTGTGACTTTTGATGAACTTCCTGAATCAACTGCCGGGTTTCCATATGTATTTCTATGACTGGTTGATTTCTTGTTTCTATTTGTACGGAGCTGTATGTGTAGTGTTCAGACGTTCGCGTCTGTTTGCGTCCAAGTGAAGCATCCATATGTATTAGAAAATTTTTTTTTCGTGTCTTCATTTCTCTGTGCAATTTTTGTGCACTTCTTTGTTTTGTTTTTCTGTACAATTTTGTGTACACAGTTCTCGCGTCTTCTTTTTTTGTAGAATTTTATGTAAAACTGTCTTTGTTCTTTTTTACGTGCGCCAGCACCAAAACCGCAAGGTTGTTCCTGGGCACAAATAAAAACTATTCTTGATTCTTGATTATTATTATTAGCTGTGTGGACTTCTTTCCATGTGCACTCCTGCCCGAGATCAGCTTGAGGTACTGGAGTCAAAAAAGTCATGAAGATGACACACTCAGACAACACTACATGCTCAGACGGTGAGGAGGAAGACAATGTGACTGATAAAAATTATTGCTACTGCAAAGGACAAGAATCAGGCGAAATGGTGAAGTGCGACAATGAGTCCTGCAAGTACAAGTGGTTTCACTTTGTGTGTGTGAACTTGAAGAAAGCCCCCAAGGCACAAAAATGGTTTTGTGGTGACTGCAAAACAAATAAGAGGTAGAATTCTGAATGACACGCAAGAGTGTGCATCCTAACTTTCCTTTTTTTGCCCAAGTGTGGAACGTATTTTGAGCAATGAAGTGCATGGACTTCTTTTTCTTATGAGTTGAGGGCTTAATAAAGTTTGCACCTGTCTGGTATATCTTGTGAAAAGGGATTACGCCACAAGGGGACAAGGTTGCAGTTCACAATTTCGGCAAGAGACCTCGATGGTGGTTGGGTGAGGTTGACAACACCAGCGGAACATCCATTGTGGCTGTATCAACTCTGCAAAAGCAAGTGTACCGCCACAACAACCAAGTCAAGCGACACTTCACCACTTGGGCATCAAGCCCTTGGGAACTACCACCACCTGACAAGGACCAAGGCTATGCAACAAGCTAACCAAGTACAGTGGAGACTGCAAGGATGCCCTGTTGGAGACAACCCACTCAAACTGTCCGCAAGACCCTAAGGTTCACATAGCCTTCAATAATAAGGTAGCCTTCATTAAGAAGGGAGGAGTGCTGTGTATTTGTACGCCCTCACTAGATGGCGCCATTGACCCGCTCCATAACAAGTGCGCCTTTAGTCAGAAAGGAGCTGGCTCTGGGGCCGCAAGGATGGAAGGCTGCTGTCATTCTTGCCGCTTGTTATTAGTTAATAAAGTATTATGTTAAAACCGAATCGCGAAGTACATAACAATGACGTCAAGGTCGCGAAGTATCTGCCGGTCTCCCGAGATGCATCGCGCTCTCCGATGGCCGATTTTGAAACGCTCGCCAGAATCTCGTTAGTAAGAACAAAAAATACAGCCATCTGCTTGAAATACAATCATGAGATTATCAATTACGGGTTAATCTGAATCTATTCTACTTATTTCTTGATTTATTTTTATTATTATTTAAGTTCCGATTAAGTATCCCTTTAAAAAAGAAACGATTGCAGGAACATCTTCTGGTAGAATAAAAGCATGTACAGTGTAGACCGCATATAACGTATGTTGCGGGAGTCGCGAAAATCCGCACTATAAGCGGTACCGCGCTATAACCAAAACATCAATTTTTCAGGCCAAGATACATGCCATGAGACAACTTACACTTGTAAAAGAATTTATTTTATGTTAGATGAAAAATAAAGCTTAGTTTGAGGAAAGTCTTTATTTCACCAGACTAGTACACTTCTCTCTCAAACGTGTTACACATTTTAAAAGAAATGAGCGGCTTTTGCCTGGCGCAGCCTTTTAACGGCGTCGCGGGTTGCGGACGGACGTTGCGAGCGTTCAGGATTGCTAACCCTAATCACTTCTCTCCGGAGACGAAAATGCGTAAAAATTCGCATCCTTCATAAGGTACGCGCCAGTAATACCTTGAACTTGAGCACACGCATGAAATGCGCCAAATAAGAAGCCCGGGCGATGTTCGAGGACACAAATGCTTAGAAATCACCACTGTAGTCGAAGTAAGCAAACACGACGACACGGTTGTTTCTGCCGTCTTGAGAGCGCCGCCACGACATCGCCGCACGAGTAGGTGGATCTTCCCTTCTAGTACGTGCTGGGTTATCATAGCGACACACAACGAAAATTCACAGTCAAGGATAGCGCTTTTACGTGGAACGATGAGATGAACGGACGGCGATCACAACCGACGCTGTGTTTGCGGATAGAAGCAGCCGGCCCGCGACCGGAGGAGGAGGAGAAGCGTTGTAATAGAGGTTGGGGGGAAAGGAGAGAGCCAAGAGTGTGTACGCACTGGGCGCCCGCGACCGGCATGCAACGCGTGCGAACACTTCTCCTCGACCTGCGATTGGTCTGTCGCTGCGGTTGTTTGTTTCCAACGCAGCGGAGGGACGCACGCGAACGACACGTGCGTGCGTCCCTCCGTCGCTATGGCAACTGAAGCCTTTCGCTTCTTCCCGCTTCTTCGAGCAACTCGGCTCTGGCGCAACTGCCACGCGAGTGCCGCTTGCTGCTCGCGCCGTCAGCACCGT